CTTTTTTTAAGTGTCAAGCGTTGCTATTTTATGATAAATAAATCATGCATGATATTTGAAATGACACTTTTAAATTATCTGGTTGTTTGTATCTTATGAGACCTATTCTATTTTTTTTATCTTATTTATTATAAACAGTTTCTCCCAGAATCACGTGACTACACGTTGTATGTTATTGTTATAAAATCTATTAATAGTAACAGTTTCTCCCAGAATCACGTGACTACACGTTGTATGTTATTGTTATAAAATCTATTAATAGTAGACATCATACAGGTAATTCGTGAATGGTTGGCAGCTGATAAAGTGCAAATCAAAGTAATTTTGTATGAAAAATCTCGGTATGACAGTAGGGGCCGGAATTGTATTAGATACAAAGAGAAAACTAATAAACCATCTTTGTGTTGATAGTTTATTGCACTGAAAGGCAATTAAACGTTAACTTTATCGTATGTAACGACAGGAATATTGATTTCAGCTAAATAATATATTTTTTCGATAGTGCATAAGAATAATTTTTTTTATGCAGACACCACTTTTACAGTAGAATTGCATTGTTTTATGCAATAATTAGGCCTAAGCATATATATTTTCATAGTCACTTTGCAAATATTTGATGATCGGTAATAATTTTTCGGTAATTATCGGATGCTGAAGAAAACCATACGTATAACGGTATATGTATAAAGTAGAATTACAAGTAGAAGTATAATCATATCACTTGCTTTACAAGCCTCGATGACAAGGTGTTAGATTTTAAGTTAGTTTCAAATTGAAGACTGTAGGTTCGATAAAGTGATTTTTTATGTTTTTTTTTTATTTTGCAAAACTTGACCGTTTATCAAAATTATGTAATAAAAAAGTGAAGCACACGATTTATCAACTTATGTTTCATAAAGTTAAAAGATATAATAAAAATCAATTTATGAAAACTACAAACAGGATTTGTCCGAGATTCGAACTTGCGCCTACTACATGTAGGTTACAACTTCGTCATACTTAGTTACCACTAGGCCATCAAGCAGTATTAATTGATATAATTATACATGTAATTATACTTACAATAAAATCGTTAACAATAATGATAATAAGATATGTAAGCAAACGGAACAGCTCCCGAAAATTATTGAGTCTCGGGTAAATATTGCCAAACAATACTTGCTTATTTAATAATGATAACAGTTTCTTGACAAAATTGATGTTTTATTATAACATAACATAAATTTATTGCATAAAACTCTCAGCAAGAAAGATATAATTGTGGCAAGTAAATGATTACGTGTTTATGTAAACATTACTCAACTTATTGTTCCTGTTTTTTTATACTCGAACCAATAAACTGATATTTTCTTTTATTTATAATAATACAATCATATTTCTATCCGGCGACTTGATGCTTTAGCATCAAAATCTCTACTTGTTTCTGAAGTACTGCTTTACTCCGGGGATCCAGCACCGAACTTTATGTCAGGTCTAAACTCCGTCTAGGGTGTTGACTAAGAAAGTGTTGGAGCACCACACAAAATATCGTATTCCGTATATACCGGACATTTGAATGATTAAATGCTAAAATCTCGCTTTTCACCCGCCGAAATTCACTTTGAGACATCATATTCATCTTTTCACACGAATGTTTACATACGACAATGAATGAAATATGTAAAAAAAATCGACAAAAAAGTGATTATGCACATAGTTTGTCAGTCTTGCCAAAAACATTGTACATATATGCTGATCATTGCAAATGAAATATTGCATTGAAAATTGATAATTTGCTTCTTTGTGATCATGATGACATCAGCAAGCGTCTTGAGGTGACTGCTCCATCACTATAGTGACATTGATCCGTTGATAAAAAAAAAAAAATAAAAAAAAAAAAAAAAAAATCAAATTTTTATAAAATGTTACTCAATTTTGAATGCATATTGTCAATACAAATTGTCTCCCATTAACATCAAGAGTTTCTACAAATGACAATGGGCTTTAAAGGAACTTCATTGAGGTTTCTTTTTACAAAACAAGACTGAAAATAAGTTCAGGACTTATTTAATACCAATTGATGTTGGTCTGCACCAAAAAAATCAAAATAGTAAAAGAAAATTTCAGACCATTTGTTCACCCCGTTTGTCCAGAATAATTTTTTTATTGTGCAAAAAGAAAAAAAAAAAAAAAAAAAAAAAAAAGAACATAAAACATGAAAAGCGTTTAAACGCCTTTAACTCATACCAGGTTAATTATTAAATGGTTCTCAATATCATTTTTTTTTATTTCATTTTGATTGTATAGTGTATTTCTTTATTATCTTTTTTGTAAACTGCACCAGTTAATTTATGTATATAGGACTTACAAATTTCATGTTTTAGGCTGACTGACCTGATTTGAGCCTGAATCAAAATTAATTTCATATATAGTAGAAGGATTTCTCATTCTAGATTAGCGAAAACACAAACATTTCTGAACTCGGATTTTACAATGAACAGAAATTTTATGTAAAAGAATAATCAGTTATAATAATATTTGTTTTCAAAACAAGGAATACAAGAAAACACTATAATATTGATATTAAACACTTGTGTATCTATTGCTTATTTAATGTTTTTAACGCAGTTGTATATACATGCATACAATAACATTTCTCACGTACATAGTACATGTTTTCTGTAAAGTCATAATGTTACAGAATCCTGCTATCGGGTTCAAGAACATTTAAGTATAATAATAATATAATAATAATAATAATAATAATAATAATAATAATAATAATAATAATAATAATAATAATAATAATTAGTATAATAATAATAATAATAATAATAATAATAATAATAATAATAATATTAATAATAATAATAAATAATAATAATAAAATACACGTCTAGCGCAGTAAAGTTTTGTCTAAAACATGGAAACTTAAAAAAAATGCCTAAAAACATTTAAAATTGAAGATGTTGAAGACTTTATCTGATTGAGTTTGTTTATAGACGATTGTGGTCAGTGCAATATACCGTCCACGTACCGCCTCTGTGGTCGAGGAGTTAGAGTCGATGACTTCTAATCCAGTTATCTCTCTGGCGTGGGTTCGATCCCCGGGAGATGCTTAGGTAGTTTAGCGCAGAGGAAGGTAGTCTAGAACTGGTGTAACTCTCCAGGAACGATGTTAACTACCCGTCTATATGACTGCAATACTGTTGTGGAAAAAGACGTAAAATGAAACAAACAAACACACAAAACCGTCCACGCTCCCTAGCACCGGCTTAGGAAGAGTACAAAATTAAACAATGAAATCGTTAAATTTCATATTTTGAAACATCCACTGCTATGATTTATTTGTTTTAATTTAAGACTCGCTACCGTCCATTTAAAAGTTTCAATCCAATTTTCAATTTTGCTTTCATTAAAATAACTTAATATTAAGCATGAAACTTTACACTCATTGCTCAGTACTGGTTGGTTCCAGGAATGGATTCGAAAGTGTGTTTATAAGCTAATAGCTTTCTACACACACGAACTAAAGTAAATTTAAACCAATTTATATTTAGAATTTATGTGTTGATATTTCCGGTGTTTCTGACGATGACAATGCAAAAAAAAATGTTGACATCAGCTATTACATAGCGTAATAAATTAAACTTGTTATCCTTAGTGATTTATAATAATGACCAATAGACCTTTTGAGATTAACTATGTATGTTTAAAGATATATCTAACCACGGAGTATACAAACATACAGGTAAATATTTAAAGAACATTTTCAAACTTTTATATAACTGCTACTTAAGTCTATTAGAGAAAAAAATTGACCTAAAATTATAATGAAATAGGTTACACGTACAATACAATTTCAACTTGTCGAAATGTCTTACATTTCACCCTACCGAATTCATTTAACATTTAATGGAACTCCACTGAGGTCTTGAAGCTTAAAAAATAAATTTTGAATTTCTTACAAAGAACTGGTGTATTTAAAACAAAAAATATATACACTGGACAATTAAGGAAAAATACTCAGAAATAAATTGAATATCGATTTTTTCTGCTATATTTCGCCCGATTTGAGTGAAGAATATTGCAGCGCTTTTTAATTTTGGGTCAATTTTCACAATAAGAATAATTATTCTAGAAAAAAAATGGAGCGAGCGAAGAATTTGAAATTTTGGACACAAGTTCTAAGTCTAGAACTACATCAAATGGAACTTTATTTTTTTTGGAAATTATCGCAAGTCCCGCTGCGTCAAAAACATCCGTGGAGTCCCTTTAATTTGGAATAGTCCATCCAACGTGTGAGGGGTTTCATTTACAAAATACAAAAATATACATTGTAGCTATAAACAGTATAAAACTGGGTCAGACTGCCTGGATGCGCAGGATTGCCTGGCTCTATATTGGTGGCAAAATCTATCACTTTCAGTTCAGGAAGGTGAAAACTACGTGCCTCCAGATGAGCCAAAAATTTTCAAGAAAATCAAACTTGACAAAAACGGACTAGGATTTTAAGAAAAGTGAAGAGATTTAAAATTCAAGTAATAATTTTCATGCTATGTGCGATTAAAAACTGATTTTGCAGTATCTATTATCATATTTATACTGCTTGACTAACAAACTAAGGAGTGATTTTGCAGTATTTATTACCATATTATACTGCGTGTCTAACGCAGTAAATAGAGGATATTCAAGTTTTTTCTATAAATACATGATTTATTTTCATCGAGTGGTATGAAAATAAATATTTCATGAGTGGCGGTAGCCACGAGTGAAATATGGTAATTTTCATGCCACAAGATGAAAATAAATCATGTATGTATAGAAAAAACTTGAATTTTCTGTTTATTATATACATTTTTCTCTTTCTGGACATTGAATTTTAAAAGACTTTCACTTAAATTTTGAGTACTGGCAGAATTTAAAAGAAAGTAGTCCGGCAGGACACCAGTGAAAATACGGAAAATATGTTTCACTGCAGTGAAAAATAGATTTTTACAGTGAAAACACGGAAAATGAAAATACGCATTTTATTTCATCAATATTTCTCAATATTTCATTTAAAAGTATATAATAAAGGTTTTTATTATATTTTTACCTCTTCTTTGGTTATTTTAGTGGACTGTAAGTGCCGTTTGCAATGTTTAAATTACTGTCTTTGTTCACTTTACTTTTGAATACATTTCCAAAATTTTCATGAAAATTAGCACGAATCTTTAGGCATGCTGCTATAAAGGTTAAGCGCTCTTTGTTGAGTTATAATTAATTATTGATGGCATAAGCACAAATAATAATTAAAAAAAAAAGCACCATCAAAACGAATCAATCAGATATTCACATAATTAAGAATGTATACTATATGCATTTCTTCTTAATATCGACACAAATATTTGTACTTTGAAACGGAAGAAAACAGGGAACAAACCACTTTCAAATGGAAAAGTTTTAAATTTAAGGCAATAAGCTCATCAATTTTGCTGTAGATATGCTTTGCCACGTCTATCGTTCCCTCCTTTCCTCAGATTCACAAATGTAGAAAAAAGTCACAGTACAACATTTCATATACCACTCTCCAGTAAGAACGTTGATTGTCACGCAATAGTCACCATCACTTTTATCGTTTCTTGGTTGTCCAACCGCCCAATTAAAATATGTCATGTTCTGTTCCTTCCAATTGATGAAATATGTTTTTTGATGTTTTCTTATTCCATCAACAGCAACATGCGTCTTCTGATCGATATCATGAAAATCCCAGTACTCACGTTTACTAAAGTCTTCATGCATATCTACCATATATTCTGGTGCCACTATATTAATGAACTCCACGACAGCCTCGTGTTTTTCAGCACTGTCAATAAACACAAGATGCGAACTTTCTTCCTCACATAGAATTGTAGAATGCAGACGACCATCTTGACGCCCTGAAAACCGTAAACAGAGTCCTTGAAAAGAATAATAACCGTCCGGGCAATCAAACTGTGAAAGTGTACTCTGGAACCGGCAATTGCTTCCGTGACAAGATTGTTCTTCTATATCTAGTGGCTTGCACATGGAGCTAAATCTACCAGTGTTTGAACAGCCACGTGACCGTATTCTCGTTCCCTTCCCACAATCCACTGAGCATCTGCTCCATTCTTCCCATTCGTTGCATTCCGTTTTACGCATGCAGGCGTCCTCCTGAAGCTCCCGGTTCGCCTCCTTGAGATCAAAAATTGTCCATTTTAATTCTGTGACAAGATCCCGTTCTTCACGTGTTAGCTGATTTACTTTCATATCTTCCGTAGCCCATTGTAGTGTTTTTATCTTTTTGTTTTGATTTTCAATTATATCGTGTAGTATTGTATTCTCTTTTTGCAAGTATTCAACTTGGTCTTCCAGTGATCTCATCTTTGGGATAGATTCCCCGACATACGAGGCAATTCCGTTCTCTAATAACTCCAAACGATGTTCAATAAACAGTTTTTCATAGTCTTTTGTGTCTTCGCTGAAAACTGTGACAGAAAATATAGCGATTATTAAAAACAGTATTTTGAATAAATTTCCAGTCTTCATTTTCAAAAATATCAAGCACTCCGTTATTTTGAAAAACACGAAAATCCTCTTTTTTTCGCTGCATTAAATCCTGATATTTCGCGACATTTTTTACGGCTGTATTCATCCGGATCTTATTATGAAGACCGACACCTTTACAAAACAGAAAGGTTATGAAAGTGTTATATTTTTATAAGTATCGAAATATATACCGCTTTAAAAAAACAAGGTGATTTAAGCCCCAGTACGTTACTGCTGATAGCCATGTTGTGGTACATATATTTCATGAAATATGTGAATTATCAAATAATGCCTCGTCGCGCTATTAACTTTATCATTATTTTCATTGTAAAACTAGATATGATCTTAAAGACCCATTTTAAATTTTAAAATTCTTTTTTTACATTCCCTTTGAAATTTATTAAAGGCACTCCACTGAGGGTTTTTTTGACATGATGGGACTGAAAATATTTTTTTCCAGATAAATGTACCATTTGATGTAGGTTTAGACCACTAATCTTTGTGCCAAAGTTCAAATATTCGCGCACTTCGTTTTTGCCAGAATATTAATCCAAATCGTAAAAAACCGAAAATGAAAAGCGTTTAAACGCATTTCATTCAAATCGGGCTAAGAAAAGCTGTTAAGCACAAAAATGCGATTATGCAATCTATTTCAAAATATATCTTTACTATTCTTACATATATTTCTGTTTAAAGTGTCCCAGCTCATTTATGTTAGAAATTCAAATGTTATGTTTTTAGGCTTTTAAACCTCAGTAGAGTCATTTTAAGAATTGGGAAAACATCGGAGGACATTAAAGGACCAAATTTTTACATCTACTGACGGATGGTGCAAAAAGTTAACTTACGTTTTTCCTTCTCTTTTATATGTTACAAACAGTTTTACATAACGTTGTCTTTTATGACTTATCAAGTTCAATTTACGCCTCTGACTTGAAGTTGTAATAAAAAGATGAAAACTTATAAACAGTTTGTGCATGCATTTCAATAGAAATGAATATTATATCGTCACTTTGTCCTAAATTGTGCTAAATAAAGTAGATGAAAAGAACGAACGACGTTTTGCTTGTTTTGATGTGTTTTCTTTTCGTTTTTCTTTCCCTTTTATTTAATATGTATTTTGTTTGTTTGATATGTTCTCCGACTGATTTCAATAAATGTCATTTATCGGTTATTAAAACATTAGAATCTCGTTGATGCGATCTTTGTTCGATGCTTTTTTACGAATAAATAAATAAATAATAAAAAACCAACCAACCAACCAACCAACCAACCAACCAACCAACCAAACAAACAAACAAAATAGGCACATTGGAATTTCAGACAAGCTATAAAATAATTGTAAACGGATTAGATCTATGGGTTGTGTGATTTAATGTAAATACAAACTATAGCAAAATAAAAGTAAAGTAGTATTTTGACTCCCATTCAAGGAGCTAAAACACTATATCTATACCAATTTGCAAAAAGCAACAGAAGCAAAATACAATTATATGACTCATCTTTACTAGTGAAAGAGGATCTCAAGACTTTAACGAAGATATTAAATTGATAACTTTTTCATTTCTGGGCCATATAGATATAAGTAAGACAATAACAAAGTGAAGAAAGCAGCAGATGCAGCAGCAGCAGCAACAACAACAACAGCAGCAGCGGGAGCAACAACAACAGCAATAACAACAGCAACAACGACGACGACGACAGCAGCAGCAACAGTAACAACGACAGACATTGACAATAACAACAACAACAACAGCAGAAACAACAACAACAACAGCAGCAGCAACAACACAACATCAACATCAACATCATCATCATCATAATCATCAGCAGGAGCAGCAACAACAACAACAACAAAAACAGCAGCAGCAACAACAACAACAAAAACAGCAGCAGCAACAACAGCAGCAGCTGCAGCAGCAGTAGCAACAACAACAGCAACATCAGCAGCAACAACAACAACAGCAGCAGCAACAGCAGCAGCAGCAGCAACAACAACAACATCAGCAGCAACAACAACAGCAGCAACAAAAGCAGCAGCAGCAGCAGCAACAACAACAACAACAACATCAGCAGCAGCAAAAACCAACATCAGCAGCAACAGCAGCAACAGCAGCAGCAACATCAACAGCAACAACAACAACAGCAAAAACAACATCAACAGCAGCAGCAACAACAACAACAGCGTTTATAAAAGAGAATACTACGGTCGCTTACCCATCCATTCAGAAAAAATAGATCTCTGAAACATGTCTTTCACTCCAAAATCGGTTTAATATTATATACCTGAATTAATGTTTTGTTAGGCTGAAATTTTATACATAAAAGATAAACAGTTTGAACATTAAAATCAAAATTTTTCTTGCATCAAAAAGATTTTTTTTTTCGTTTTGTTTTTTCCGAACCCGGACTGATTTCCCAATGGTGTAGCTTCCCCTTTAAAATTTTTAATTTATCCAAAAATAAATATAGAAATTTTACATTTTTCAAACGCAGAAATATTTCTATTTAAAAGCATATAGTTTCTGGGGGTTTTTGAAAATCGTTGTTTTTTTCAAGTTATTGTGGGGGAAACCCGAATTGGGAAAACCGCAGAACCCGATTTCCCTTTAAAAATATTAAAAATTTTTTGTAAATGTTGGAATTACGATATTTTTTCAAAGTATAAAAATACTTTTAAAATTGGATTTTTAAAATTAAAACTAATTTTCAGTTTAAATTTAATAAACCCAATTTTTTGGGTGAATTATTTAAAATTTTTATTGTAAAAATTTATATTAAAAGAATTTAAAAAACCCACTTTGAAAATATTTTTTTTAATTTTTTGTTTAGAGTCAACCTTGGTGAATTTAGGGATATTTTTTTAATTCTAGAATACACAAAATGCAAAACAAGTATCATAATGTCGATAGTAAAGGTTGCACACATAACGCTGAGTATCATTATCAAGGTCAAGACGCAAAAGATTGCACCCCTTAAGCCATGTATTTTATGGACACTTTTAAGCCATTATTTTAGGGAAATTTTTAAGCCACGCCGACAAAGATAAACCAATAAAGCATTATGTGTGGAGAACAACGTAAGACGCTTCTCCGTGCATTTTTTTTCAGGTACGAGCGAGTTTACCAACAGAACCAACCACCTTTCTTAAGCTAGCTGGATAGCTTTCTGGCATGAAAAAATCGGAGGCCCCTAGCGGAATTCGAACCCACAATGTAAGGGGCAAATATTGTTCAAGGTCATTGAACCATTCGGACAAGGAGGAACCATAGTGACGCGATATTTCAGTCGAATAATAACAGGTTTAACTGTGATATAATTTGAGAAAATGCAGTGCTTACATGCTTTTAAGTTCTAAATGCAACCATGAGATCCGACAATTGAGCATCTAAGCATGATTGCTTAGGTTTGTGAAATGGTGGTTGGTGGGATTTAACATTAATGATTAAGTGAAGCTTCGGTGTCGAACTTTAGGATCCTAGTCAGGTTTTTCATTACATCTACAGCCAGGTGCACACGTATGTCAAGTTAGTACTCGCCTCATAAAACGTAATATCAATTATCAAAAAATCTCATAAAATTTGAAGTTTTCTGCACATTCATGACATATTTAACAATTCACATACCACATATAAAGAGAATTTTACACATATTGCAGTTCCATCCATCATATCATAATGACTTATCGACAATAAAAATTATTAATTTGAATAAAATACATTTAAAAATGACATAAAAATAAATTTCTTGCAGTTAAATCAGAATTAAATCATATTTAATGGAGCGGACCGTGTATAACTCTATTAAATGATAATTAGGCTACATCTAAAATATTTTCTGTTAATAAATAACAGACTAAAATATTATAAAAAATTTTTATTGTTTTTTTTTTAGGATTTTTAAAAAAAAAAAATTAAAAAATAAGCAGTTTAATAGACTTTGGAATTCAAACTATTGTATATAAACAGACTACTTTATTATATTTTACATTTAAAATTTTGTGTTTAAAGGTTTTTTTTTAATATTCAGCAGACTGTTTAGATGTTTTTGACTTATATACATATATCATCATGAACTTTGTTTCTGTGTAATTGTTTAGTTTATTTTTGTTGCTGTCGATTACCTGATTAAGAGTTGATAATTTTATTTTTAAATTAAAGGGAGGGTTGACTTTTAAGCTTGCTAATTGGATTCATTCTTTTTAATTGCAGGTAGGTTGCTTTTTAAAAGAATGCCAAGATAGTATATTCTTTTTAAGGGAAGTTGGTGCCTGATATTTGCATTGCAAGTTAATTATTTTGTTTTTTACAGAGTGATTGCCTGATATACGGTCATTGCCAAGAGTTGTTTATTTTTGTTTATTTCAGAATAATTGTCTGATTAACGCAAGTTGCCAAGAAGAGTATTCATATATTTGTTGCAGGTATGTTGCCTGACATAAGTACATTGCAAGAGCAAAGTATTCCCTGAGTGCCGGAAAGACACGCGTTGCTTAGAGCTGTATATTCTTCTTTATTGCATAGTAATGGCCTTATCAAAGCAAATTGCCAAGAGCAGCACTTACTTGTTTATTGCAGGTTTGTTTATTGATATATGTGCGTTGTCAATGTCAGTATATTCTTCCCTTCGCGGCATGCACGTCGAGGAGGGCATAGGTCACACCAGATGGGTGACCTAGTTAGATCACTTAGTTGGTATGACCTAACCAACGGCGAAGGGTGTGGCCCTACAAAGAGCTGCTGCTCCCGGAAGAAGTGCCTTTCCTCTATATTGTCTACTGCGTTCAAGATTCGAAGAACTGGATCCTAGAGAAGATCTACGACGAAAGACGGCATAAGAAGGCCTCCGTCGCGGCTCTTCGATCAGTGACGTTGAAGGCGTACGAAGACCTCGGTTGCGGCTCTACGATCAGTGACGTTGAAGGCGTACTAAGACCTCCGTTGCGGCTCTAAGATCAGTGACGTTGAAGGCGAACTAAGACCTCTGTTGCGGCTCTAGATCAGTGACGTTGAAGGCGTACGAAGACCTCCGTTGCGGCTCTACGATCAGTGACGTTGAAGGCGTACTAAGACCTCCGTTACGGCTCTAAGATCAGTGACGTTTGAAGGCGAACTAAGACCTCTGTTGCGGCTCTACGATCAGTGACGTTGAAGGCGTACGAAGACCTCCGTTGCGGCTCTACGATCAGTGACGTTGGAGGCGTACGAAGACCTCCGTTACGGCTCTACG